ATCCTTTTATAAAGAGTTTTTTTGTTGTTGGCATTCATATAAATATGCTGGTGTGATACCATAGTATACATTTGATTGGTTTTTGGTATAAATTTTTGTAGTTTTTAAAAATGGCGTGCCGCGGCAACGGATGGAGAAGGACGACCACACCAATCATAGCTGCTTTTGTCTGCACACTTTCGCTTGAGGTCTGCGTGGGTTTACGAGCATCAAACGCGTTTTTTTTTAGGTTGTGGCGACGGTTGCAAAACCTCTGTGGGGGGGGGCGTGATCGCGAACAGAGACAGATTTGACGGTTGCAGAGGCTATGCATCAGAAGCATAAATTGGCCTTTAGTGCTGAGGGGCCGGTTCGGTCGCTCCGTCCCCCTGCTGGGGCCCGGTCCTGTCCAGTTAGCGGACATGAACCTCCTCAACACCCCCAAGAAAATGCAACACCTCTGAATTGACGTCAACTCGTTGCTTCGTTTGAATTCTCCCGTTTTATGGTGGAATTTTAGGAGTGTGAGATTTGCAGAGAAAGGAGGTGTTGATGGGGTTTGATCTTCTCTGTACGTCCATTTCACCCACTGAACCGTCGTTATTCATCTCTGACAACGGAAACTGGGTTTCGATTCTATGACGCCTTTAAACTTTCTGGTTTGTGTTCTGCAGATATTTTGTGAAGTTCTCGTGGGGATGGACGCTGCTGCTGCTCACCCCGTTCCTCCTCCTGTGCGGCTACAGCGCCCCGGCTCTTGGTAAAAGGCTGCTGTCTTTGGCCGTGGCCACAGCCGTCTGGTACGTCTGTACGGAGACCTTCTTCTGGATCGAGGACGTCACGGGTTCCTGCTTTGAGAGCAAAGCGTCCGTCCTCGCCTTGAGCGAGTTCGCCTCCAAATCCGCCTGCAGGCGGGCGGGCTTCCACTGGCGGGGCCACGACATCTCAGGACACTCCTTCATCCTGACCTACGCCTCCCTCCTCATCATGGAGGAGACGTCCCCGATGAACCTGAGGACGTCCGCGCTGTCCGAGGCGTCCAAGACGCTCCTCAACCTGCTGTACGTAGCCTTGAATCTGATCGTCCTGACCTGGGTGTGGATGTTCGCCTGCACCTCTGTTTACTTCCACGACCCGAAGGACAAGTTCCTGGGGACCGTATGTGGCCTGATGGGGTGGTACCTGACGTACCGCTTCTGGTACCTGAAACCCTTCTCACCGGGACTCCCCTGGCAGCCTAAAGTACAGAAACAGCATGCCTAAACCCCGCCCCCACTGATGGTTGCTTCACAGCCTTCAACATGTAGAGGATCATTTTTAATCTGGGTCCACCTGGACGTGAAACTTGAAGATGTTTTAGGTTTTTCCATCCCTTACAGGACAGCAGAGAACCACTCTGCTGTCCAGAGTGTTTACTGTTAGAAAAAGTCACGTTCTGCTACGTAGAAACCAACTCTGGATTACGGATCAGGAGGTTGAACGGATTACAGCTGTAAGGTTAAAGAAAGAGCCTTCAGGCAGTCCGAAGTCTGCCTGCGAATTGGAAACGATTTAAACAATGTTTAAAAAAATGAAATTGTGCAAAAAGTAAAAAATCTGATTCCCTACAGGCAAAATTTGGTCCATCAGAAACTGAATTTCATTTGTTAAAACTACATTTTGTTGCTTATTATTTCCAAATTCAGTTCCAAAATTCAGTTTCTTTCTCAGACGACTGAACCTTGAACCACAGAGAAATCGAACACAGATTCATGGATCGCCATCTAATATCTCAGGATGGAATCGGTCTCATTACTCAGCGGCACCATTAAAAACGTCTCTAAAGCACCCAGATTACGATGTTTCCTCCTGTTTCTGGCTGCAGATGACGAGCCGCTAATAAGCTAGCAGTGAATGCTGGGGTTGTAGCCATTCTCCTGTTGAAATGTGTTCAATCAGACCTCTGGCCTTAAACCTCACTAATATGGAAGTGAGTGAAATCTGCATCGAACTTTGGGAAGCGGAGCCTTCCTCTCTAGCGCCTTCTGTTAGCCATGCTAGCTCTGTTCGCTATAGCAGACGTCGTGTTTTTCTGCCTGCGATGCTGCGTTCAAGTCCGCAGGAGAAAATCCACCACTTTTGCTCTCCCTTTCTGTCACTGCGATGCATTCAGGTTCCAAAACATGGTACCGTCAGTTATTGTGACCAGGTGCTACCGATGGAGGTCAGTCGGTACAGATTTCAGCAGATAAACTTAATAGAAAAAACTGGAAATGTTCATGTTTGAAGAAAGAAACTGGAGGACAAACTGTAAGCACGACCTGTAGCTAAAGATGCTACATTAGTGATGCGTTTTTCTGTTTCCTCCATCGATGTTTGATACGGTGAATGAAACCCACTCAGTTAATGAACGCTTCTCTGCTTCAGATTAAAATGAGGTAAAAATTAATTTACCTTTAATAGAAATTTCAATCCGTGAATCTGTGTTCGATTTCTCTGTGGCTAAAGGACCCGGTTGTTTGACAAAAAACTGAATTTTCAAACTGAGTTTGAATATAATAAAGTAGAAAAAAAAAAAAGATGACATAAAAAAACACAAACATATTTTGAAGTAAATTAATTCAAAATTGGCCAGAATTAGTTTTTTTATTCTTCAAAGAATACAGATTTAGTCCGGCCAATTAAAAGGTAGTTCCTGCGTTTCTAACGTAAAGATTTGTTTCTTTTTTTAAGTGTTTTCACACTACAGTTTGTTTGCCCTAAAATGCTTCATCCAGTTTATTATCCGAGGTAATAAACTCGGGATTGTTTACGGCTCCAGATGTTTTGCAGATGTTCACCGACGCTGAAAGCTATAAACAGACGCTAACTACGGTGTTACGTACTTCTTCCTATAAGTAGGATTTAATTTAGTTGCTTTTCAATAAATGAAATGAATAATTTATTATAGGTGCTAAAAAGAACATATTTTGCCAACATGATGCCCAATATTGTATTCCTTTAAAATACATATTTATTTTTACTAAACTTGTAAGTTTGCGGCTGACATGGACCATGTGTGTTTTATACGGAGCCCCTAAAGGGACATGGAGGGAAAAAAATAAACTTTTGCGAGATCTCGCAAAAAAAAACCTTTTGCGAGATCCCGCAATAGTTTTGCTGGATCCCGCAATAGTTTTGCGAGATCCCGCAATAGTTTTGCGAGATCCCGCAATAGATTTGCGAAATCTCGCAAAACTATTGCGCGATCTTGCAAAAGTATTGCAAGATCCTGCAAAAGTATTGGGGGATCTCGCAAAAAAAAAAACTTTTGCGAGATCCCGCAATACTTTTGCGAGATCCTGCAATACTTTTGCGAGATCTCGCAAAACTATTGCGAGATCCTGCAAAACTATTGTAGGATCTCGCAAAACTATTGCGGGATCTCGCAAAAGTATTGCGAGATTTACAAAAGTATTGTGGGATCTCGCAAAAAAAAAGCTTTTGCGAGATCCCGCAATACTTTTGCGAGATCCTGCAATACTTTTGCGAGATCTCGCAAAACTATTGCGAGATCCTGCAAAAGTATTGTAGGATCTCGCAAAAGTATTGTAGGATCTCGCAAAAAAATAAACTTTTGCGAGATCCCGCAATACTATTGCGGGATCCTGCAAAAGTATTGCAGGATCTTGCAAAAGTTCTTTTTTTCCCCTCCATGTCCCGTTAGGGGCTCCGTAGTTAGGGCTCCGTATGCTGCCTCTGAGTTCCTAACCATGAAAATAACGGACTCAGATCAATGGTCATGATTTTAGCTCTTTGTCTAGATTTAAAATATTACAAATAAATCAGTCGAATTAGTTTGTTTGTTTTAATTACAACCTTAGATGCTATAAAAGTTAAAATGTTCAACTTTGAGTTCATCATTTCGCCTCAAACAGACTGGATGCAGGAATGAAAACATTTCTATCCATGTGCCACATTTTTCATCATGCCTAATATGTTTGTATTTTATATATCTACATTTATATATCTGGATGATTAGCCGGAGTTATTTTCAGGATTTCCAAATGTTTGGAAATTAGTGGAATAGTTTTTGTTTTGTTTGTGTATAAAAGATGCCGTTATCAGCTGCTTTATGATGTGTTTGAATAGAAGTTTAAGGAGTTTCACAGATATTTAGTTTCAGAGGGAGTTGAGCCTTTGCTCCAAAAGTTGTAAGGTAATTGTTTATTGATTGTTGGGTGACTTCTATTTAAAAAATTCATACATAAGAAAAAAAATAACGGCGTGGTAAGAAAGCTGTCAACAAAAATGAACATGTAGGTGTCTGAATTTATCGTAAATCCATAAATGTGAAGGAATTGAAGAGGCTATGGAGTGAATTTTATTCCATTATTGTTGAAAGCAAAGAACATGTAGGGTAAATGGAAGTTTAAAAGAATAAAAAAGGCATACCAGAAACAAAAATTTGAAAATGTTTATAATTATTTTATTTTAAAGTTATCTTCTTTAGATTCAGTTTTAAAAATTGTATCCTTTTTTAAATCACCTTCCCTTCACTTTTAAGCCCAACACCAATGATGTTGCTAACGTCCAGCAGACCAATAGAAATTCATCTTTGCTCCTCACTCGAGGAAAGCCCCGCCCCCACAAACGAAGAGAGTGTGATCTGGAAAATGCAATTTGAAAAAAAAAAAATTAGTAAAACTTAATCTGAAAAATAGAAGTTTTAAGAAAAAAAAAAGTGATATAAAATTTGTAAAAAAAAAAATTGAGAAATAAATTTTCAAAAATAGCAAATTGGTTAAAATTGCAAAATTTGAAGAAATAAAATACAGACTGTGTTCTATGCTTGCAACAAAAATGGAGTCATGTTCCCTCCTAACAAATTTAGAAGTTATAAATAGAAGCAATAAAGTTGCAACAAACTTAAAAGAACAAAACTACAACCGGATGAAGGTTTTCCACTCCTTACCAGTTGGTGGCGGTAATGACCCTGAAGCCGCCGTTAAAGGAGAAGACGGGAGACGAATGCAGAAATACTGCCGGAATGTTAAAATCTGCTGAAATGTTTTCACTGCAGGTTCAGTTTAACAAACTATCCATGGTTGTTTTTTTCTATTATAGGTGGTTAATAAACAACTTTCAGGTGCATTACTGCCCCCATGTGGTCTGGAGAGTCCAAATTTGTTTCTTTAATATAAAACATCTGTTGTAAGATGTATGTTAGAAATAAAACGGAACAAATACACATCTTTAATTACTTTAGTGACTTAAAGAAAATTCAGACACATTTCCATACATTTTTATTGACAGTTATCTTACCATTTAGAACGGGAACACATTTTATTAATTTTATTAAGCGTGTAATTCTGTAGTCTGCAGGTGGAAATGTGTTTATTTGTGTGTTGGGTGAAGAAAATAAAAACCATTTGCTTTGATTCCATTTTCCATTGTTTATTCATCATTGATGGCAACTGAAAAAATTAAGGCTTATGAACAAACATCAGAAAAAGCACCATAAATGCATAATAACACATAGAAATATATAAAAAATAAATAAAAGAGTGAAAATGAAGATCCGGACCCGCAGGAGCCATAACTGCAAATAAGAAGAACCAGTGGAAGAGTGAGGTGTGCTTGCAATGATCGGCTGGTTATGACTTGTCTTCATCTTCAGCATCATCTTCCATGTTTTTAGTCCATAAATAATCAGAGCTTTAAAAATGACAAACTTCAGCAGGCAGGTTGGATCAGTTCAACTTAAAAAAAGCTCCTTTTCCAAGTCCTTCTTCATGCTGTTTAGGTAACAATTTAAAGACATTCCAGTTTGCCTAAAACACTCTGAATGACCACGACCTGAATAAATATGGATTCACACCTGGGAAGAACCTCAACTTACAGTGACAGGAAACATAAAACATTACAGAGTTTGAGCGAACAGCCGGGGGAGTCTGGAGAGTTAGAACAACAAAATATGCAAAAGTTTTAAACAAAAATGACGAGTTAAAACGGTCCCCACACAATTAATCCAAATAGAAATGAGCTTCAGCTCCGTCTCCTATCGCTTTATGACTTCAGTATGGAGTTAATTTTGTTCCATTATTGTTGCAACAAAAAACAGGTTTTGTAAATGGAATTTAAAAAAAATGCAATCTAGAAATTAAACCTTAAAATACGCCTTATTCAAAAGAAGGTTGTGAGAGTAACAGCTGTTATATATTTTATATATATATATATATATATAATTTATTTTGGGAATTGTTTTTAAAGATTTTGTATTACATTTGTTTTCTAATTTTTTCAGATTGAGCTTTACAAATTGCATTATTTTTACAAATTGCGTTTTACAGATCACATGTCTGTAAAATGCAGCTAAATCTAAAAAAAAAAAAAATTTTTGAAAAAGATTTGTAAACAATTTATACTAAAAAAACAGATTCTGAAAACCTTTGTTTGATGAAGAATTTTTTTAAATATACTTTTTGGATTCCATTTCCCCCCCCACATTTTCTTTAACAAAACTAGTTCTTTACAACAATAATGGTACAAATGTCTCTCCATACATCAGGGTATTGCCATAGCAGGCTAATCCATACCATGTGAAAAACAAAAGTGTCTGGTTCTACTTGTAGTTTTTCTGTTTTAAAAATTTCTAAAATAAAATAACAAGCTTTTATTTCTGTTTGTAAAACCTAAACGCAAGAATTTATAGATCTATAAGATTTATAGTTCTAGAAATTATTTAGCACAACCAGCAATCTGTAGTTGGAGCGCAGATGTTTTCAGTATTAAAATTAAGCATGTCTTTAATTTAACCATTAAAGTAAGAAAAAGGCAGCCTTTTTTATTTTCTGAATTTCTGTTCTCTGATTAAATAACCAAAAATTTTAATTTAATTTCACACAGAAATCGATTTTAAAACAAAAATTTAACAAAAAACAAAATAAGCAGCAGTTTATTCCTTTTCCTCATTTCATTTTAAAGCCAAACTCCAAAGAAGGAACCATGAAACTAAACCCGCTGTTCTGTCAGACCAGCATACATACACTGCAAAAACAATCTAGAAATAAGTAGAAATTAGTGTATTTACCCTTAATTTGAGTAGGTAAACAAGATGATCTGCCAATGGAATGAGTATTTTTACTCTTAAATAAGATAATTATATAATATGCACTTGAAATAAGACAATGCAATTGTTTTTTTCTTATTTTAAATGTAAACTGTCTTGTTTAATTGGCAAAGTGTCTCACTTACCTCCTAAATTCAAGAACAAATGCACTTATTTAAAGAAAAATTTACTTATCTAGATTTTTTTCCAGTGTAAAGTAAATACGCATGCGCAATATTTTAGATTTGCGTTTATTCATTTAGTTTTGTACCAAAGATAGACTTTAAACTACCTAGAAAAAAATAAAATAGTAACAATTTAAGGACAGATCGCGAATCTACGGAAGAGGATTAGGGCCACTGGAAAAAAAAAAAAGTTAACTGATTTTTTTTTATTTTATTTCAGTTTAATATGGGAAAAAAGTCAGAATTCTGAGATTAAAGTCAGAATT